GGTGTGAGGTTTCGTACCAATTGTGTAGTATATTTTGCATATGTGGTGGTGTAAGTTATTTGTAGATGTTCAATAATATATTTGTAATGTATTTCTCAACAAGTACTCAAATATGTAGTGTTCTCGAGTAGCTAAATTTGAAATGGGTATGGTTTAATAAAGTGGATTGCAAGTTATGTCTTGAGAATTTCTTGATTCTAGTAATAAGCTTAATCTTCAAGTACTTGTAATTTTTCCTATTTGGTTATTAGTTTTAATTGAAAATTAAAATTGACATGTTTTGCATAAATTTGTTTCTTAGAAAAGACTTTAACGACTTTTGAATGGTTAGCCTTAATGACTTAAAAGTCTACATGGAGACAGACTCTGAGCAAACGACTTGACTTCAAGCAATTTCTGTTCACCTTCTCCGTTTATTAATTTTTGTAATTTTCTCACTTCCAAATATTAATTTTTATAAAAGCGAGAATGGAATGGCGGTGGTCAAAGTTTATTTCTGTACGTTATTTGATTTTGCTATTACTCATTGCTACTTACTGTATTTTATCTGTTCAGCCTCAGACACTTGGCCAGGTTGATGAGTGCTCTGCCTTGTTACAATTCAAGAAAAGCTTTGCAATCAAAAGTCTATTCCGCTTTTAAGGTGGTTCGGAATAAACGCTCTCTTTAAGAAAAGTTTTGGGTTTGAGTCCTAGCATCTGTATAGTGTGTGTGAATTTAATATGTTATTGCCTCTCTTAATATGAAAAGTTCTTAAAAATACATGATCCAAAGCCAAACTCACAAAACCCAAAAGAACTAAATTTCTAAAACAACTGATATGCCCGAATAATAAACCACTCATTTAGCCTTAGAGAAAATGTAGAACATGAGGCAGATTTAGTGGTGGATCCATGATTTCAAAGATGATTAGGCAAAACTTACATACTAAACTCAACTGCACAAGTAAATTTCATTAATGAACATGAAAAATACACCTAGTTAAGGAATATAATTAACCTTACCCTCAAATGCAGAAAAGTTGATGCCAAAAGGTAAAGAGTAGGAGAGATCAACTTGGCAGTTATGCGTTTCTTTTTATTATTATTATTATTTAGGTTGGGATAAAGATATGTACTTTTTTTGGTTGGAAAATTTTGGGCCAGGCTGTAGCCTTATCCGCCCTCAATGTAGAACCACCACTAGACATATTTCAAACAAAGATGCCAAACTGACATGACTCAGACCAAGTCACCACAAGATTTTTTTCACTAACCTAAAAAAATTAAATGGAAATAAAAGAGAATGGAAATAAACTGACATGACTTTGACTGTGGAACAATGTTTCCAGCAAGATAAATATCAATCCTGCAGACGACTTGACTTCAAGTCTTGGAGTTATTGATCACCGCTCATTAAGCATCCCCATCTTCCTTGATTATTTTGCATGAGCTGTGTCTATAAAAGGGATTTTGTAGAAGTAGTGAGCTGATTAGTATAGTCTAAGCCTGGAACTATAATTGTGTATGCACTTAGTCGCTGAGAATGACAGGTGGAAGGCTCCAAAATATAAGGCTGAAATAGCCACGTGTAGTGATCCTAGAATAGCTAGATGTGTGGCTGATATTCAATATGTTGTGTGTGAATCCAGCTAAGGCTAACAGTTATATAGTACACGCTTTGTGTTGCTCATTCTAATAGAAGAGAAATATAGTCCTCTCTGCGATTTCTGCAAGAGAGAAGAAGAACATTTCATCACTCTGCATTTCTTCGATCTTCTATTCCTTCTCTTTCAAGGCATGGCACTGAACAGTTGAGATCAAACTCCAAACAGTAATCTCTACCTCTAAATAACAAGAAGGGAAAAATAATTCAATTCTTGCTACATTTTGAGCGGCTAGTCTAATGTATGAGAACCTAATTTGGACCTTTAAATTGAAATTTAGAGGTGAGAAACAAAACAAAAAACCTGAATTGTAGTTTAAAGAGCGGCAGCGTTGTGAAGTCCGGAGAGACTGAGATTGTCGAAGACACAAGGACTGGCTGCGTGCCAAGGCTTGCAGAGATTGAGGTTGCTGCTGCTGAGGAGGAGTAGGACACAACATGGTTCCAATTCTCCGGAGGACAGACAGAGTCGCGGAATAAGAAGAGGTAAAGATTGGTGCTGTGGTGACACTATAATGCTATTTTTTTTCTTCTTGAATTCTCCAAAAACTTCAAGGAAACTTCCTCGTTGCTCAGACCTCCCAAACATGCTACCATTCAAAAGGATTTCCAAATCCCATCTCTGCCTGGGTTGCAATCCTCTGTGTAACAAATTACAAGCTGGGGATGACATTGACATGAGAGTAATTGGTTTTTTTCGATAGTAAGTCATTACCAGGTTGACTAAATTGCATTTTCAAGGTATTAAAACTAAAGGTATGTGTTTAGGGATTGTGGTAAGTCGTTACCATGAAACAGAGGATGTTTTTAGTAATAAGTTTATTGGCCTTCTTCAACTAGAAAGTGTTTAGTGTCTAGTGTTTAGGCTTATTGGCATCCTTCCTATTTCTGGCTTATTGGCCTTTATCACTAGCTTGATTACAAACAGAAAGCTTAATGCCTATTTATAGAGGGAACAAACCAAGTAGTAAAGTCGGTTATTCTAGTAAACCGACATTAACTTGTAATTCCAGCCACATATTGTAGCTTCAATTAAGTTAGTAACTAGTGTTTAGGGAATACATCCACCGACTTTGTGTTCTAAATTATTCTATAAAATTCTGCAAGCTTGTAGAAGTCTCCACCGAACGTGCATTATTTTTCAACTTATAAACTGGTTCAAGACTTTTCAGCCTTAATGACTTTAGAGTGATAAACACGAAATAAACTACTTGTAGAATAAGTTATGAGTGACTTCAAGTCATTACATTAACGGAAGAGGGCCCATGCATATGGACGCTGCCGATTGCATCTCTACCATGTCCACTTGATGGGCTAGAGAGTGACTATTTTGTTCATTTGGGGAACCAAGACTTCTTTCATATTAAGACTGGCACTAATTATGAATTTTACAAGGTTCAACATATTTGTATCACCACGTTTCAAATATTTGTTCAGGATGATGGAAGACATATGATCAAAACCTTACATTCAACTGTTCTTCCTATGGATATCGAGGATTGTGGTCGGTTCATGCTCACGTTTGGCTTCAATCTATAAGTTCTCTTCACATTTCTTGTGTTTTCATCAATAACATTAATTTGTACGTTGAATTCTATTGTATTTTGTATGTATCAAAACCCTTATAAATGTAATTTCTGGTGATTATGACTCTCAAAGAGTGTGGGGATTATGAACCCATAGAAGGGGAGAGTGCAGCTAGCATGAAGCAGCCCAAACAAGAAGATGAAACCAGTATCGTAGAGAATTATTTGATGTGTGGGAGGTGAAAGAAATGTGTTTACGTGGAATGTTAAGTCTTGGATTAGATATTATTGAGGCGTTTTACTGCTATATAGGCCCTTGATGTTATAGTGGAAAAAGATGTTATTGATTGTGATATTTAGGTGATAGTTGATATGATACATTTGATTTGATCTGTCCAATTCTTTTTTCTTTTAAAACAAAGCATTCACAAAGTGAGTGTAAAATAAGACATATGGTATATGATGCGGAGGAATTTGTTATACTTTATGGGCCCGCATTTTGGATCTTAGCCCGAAAGATGCATTTTAAGCTTTCTTCTTTTTTTCGGTTGAAATCACGTTTCATTAAATACAAGGTCAAAGTTAGTTACACTAAAGTGAGCCCATGATATGAGCTCAACCAAATGCAACACAAAAAGCATAGAGCCCACTAGAGTTATAAAACTCACATAAAGGCAACAAGCCCACAAAACACAACACAAACTTAGGAAACATTTTTTACCCCAAAAAGAAAAAAAGAAAAAAAAAAGGAAACCTTAAAACAAAGAACAGGGAAATGCCGGAAGGAAGAGTGAAGGGCCATGAAAATCGGACCCGAGAGAATGATCTTCTACTCACTATTAGGGGAAGAAAGGAGAGGGGGAGGAGAGTGAGGGAGAGAGAGGAGACAGGAGGAGAAACAATGACCTCCTCACCCCTCAAGCTAGGGTTATATAGTATTGCTCGGGTAGAGGGAAGTTAGGGTTGGGGTTGGGAAGTGCTAACTCGCATTTTAAGTCTACAAGCAGAATTGTTTTAAATTTATTCATACAATATTCTACTTTAATTTAATTTAAACTATGAGGAGGAAGATTTGAATTCGGGTGCAGAATGAGGAGTAAATCCGCTCTAACAAACTTAGCTAAGCCCATGTTTGTTATGCAAGCAGGAATTTTAGTCATCAAATTAACTCCAAATTGCAGAATAGTGAAGAGCAACCGCTGCATCGAAAAACAGAGAGCAAGACCAGCTTCAAACTAGCTAGAAGGTGGAAAATGGAAAAGAAGAAAAAGACATGGACTCAGGTTTCTATGGTGCAGGTGGAAATGACAGGAGCAATTTGGGGCACTGTTATACTTTATATGGAGACAAATTGTCACCATCAATGTTCATGGGAAACAAGAATTTCTTTCTCTTTGGTAGAAGGAATCCATATAGCACAAAACATTGAACAATTGCTTTGGGTTTTTTATTTAGGGGTTCTTAGATAAAGCACAACGAACATCTCCATTGGTTAAATACCACCTAAATTTTTTAAAATAATTATCTCCTTTAACTACTCTTTCTTTTTGGTACAACTCCTAGTACCTGGTTTTTGTCATCATGATTACATATATTCTTTTCTTCCTCACCTGACCTCGTACGTAGTTTTTTCTTTGACATAAAAAATACAAAAAAAGATTTTATCAATTTCCAAGTCTTGACCTGCTTCTAAATATATTATATTCAAGTCCTTAATTACCTGCTTCCACAAGAAGAATTATATCTGTAAGAGGACAAGACTAGTTCATTCTCTCCAATCTATAAATAGACTTATATCCCATGAAGGATTTTCATCCCACCCTGAAACCAACTCTCTAAGCCAACTACGATGAAAGGTGTTCATTTTCTCATAAGCACTCTGGCCATATTGGCATTTGCAACCTTCCTTGCCTCAGCCTCTGATCCCAGTCCTCTTCAGGACTTTTGTGTAGCAATCAATGACACCAAATCTCCTGGTATATACATTAATATGCACTATATATATATATATATTATATTTTACCCTACTATTATTTCCTCATTAATTATTTTGGTCAGGCTTTAAGAATATTATGAAGATTGTTTTTCTGTTAGCTATATGCTTTCGCATGGCTTATCATGCATGAACAATAATCTATTTATTTAATTACTTATCTTTATAGATATTTGAATAATGCTATTTGTACCACATCTGACCAACGTAATGAGCCCCTCTCTAACAGATCAGATGGGTTCCACTTATGTGGATTTAACGTATGTTAGGGGGGAAACTTATTTAAAGTAAATTTAGGTTTTAGCCACAAAAAAAATTTCACTTTTGGAAAAGCCAAAACTTTTTCAAAAAAGATAAAAAAAATCTCTCAACTTTCAAACCAAAGACATACGAATGTAAAGGATTCCTTAGGAAATCCAAAAATAAATAAGGGCAATCTTGTCCATTTTGGCTTCTTTTAAAAAATTTCTCTCTCCTTTGGTCTTTTCCAAAGTCTCCCAAAGTTTAATTACTTTATTTTTTTTTTTACAGAGAAGAAAGTATATGCGGTCCAAATAGCTCTAATACTAAAAGTTTAATTATTATTTTTTTTGTACAACCAGTGATTCTGAATGGGATTGCGGTGTTTGTGAATGGGAAATTCTGCAAGGATCCTAAGCTTGCCAATGCGAACGATTTCTTCCTCTCTGGGTTTCAAATTCCAAGAAGCACACAAAATCCGGTTGGTTCGACGGTGACACCTGCAAATGTGGACCAAATAGCCGGACTGAACACTCTCGGCATATCCCTAGCTCGCATAGACTTTGGACCAAATGGCCTAAACCCTCCTCATACTCACCCTCGTGGCACCGAAATCCTTGTAGTCTTGGAAGGTACACTCTATGTTGGTTTCGTTACATCCAACGGTGATGGCAATCGCCTATTCACTAAAGTATTGAACAAGGGAGATGTGTTTGTGTTCCCAATTGGTCTCATTCACTTCCAACTCAATGTGGGACACGTCAACGCTGTGGCCCTTGCCGCCCTTAGCAGCCAGAACCCAGGCGTTATCACCATTGCAAATGCAGTTTTTGGCTCGAAGCCTCCTATCAATCCTGATGTTCTAGCCAAGGCCTTCCAAGTGGACAACAAGGTTGTTAACTATCTTCAGAAACAGTTCTGGTACAACAACAGTTAAGAGAGAAAAAAAACTTATATGTGAAAAGCAGAAAAGGCCAAGGAAGGAACGATTGCTATGCCTTATTGGATGTATTTACTACCTAAAAATTATTATGATCGAATATTAATTGAATAAGATGGTCGTTTATGCAATCAAACATATTATCATAGTCTGTAGTTCTGTGTGTGCTCTCTCTATCATATACTTCTAGTTTGCACAATTCAAATTAAGTTGGTAGCTTTTTGAACCCAATGTCTTTCCACCTTTGATGCCCCAGATTGTACCAACTTAATTAAATTTCTCTCTTTTTAAAAAAATTTAATAATTTTTTTCTTTTTCTTTTTTTATTAAAAAAGATCAATGGATTGGGCAACCATTCATGTGAATCGTGATCAAGCCAAGGCAACAAATTCTGCAAATTTTTTTTGGTCGAATAATTCTGCAAGTTCAATGCCAAGCGTAGTGATTTTCTACATAAGCTGTAGTACGGATTTCTGTCATATATATATATATATATATATACATTTGGGATTTTCAGCTGTTTTATGTCGTGAAATATGACTTTGTAGAAATTAAATCTCTGAAATTAAAAAAATCAGCAAATTTAGCTCTCGAATTAATTAATTAAAATTGCTAATTTAGCCATTGCTGTTAATTTTTTTGAATTTCGTCCATTTTTCCGTCTAAAAAATTACATGTCATGCACGTGACTTAATATTTGATTATTATTATTATTATAAACTAAAATAGTTAGAAAATAGAAAATGAAAGAAAAAAAAGGTGACTTTCTCTCTCTCCGTCTCTTCCCCTCTCAACTCTAACACTCAGCCAAAGTTCTTGAACAAAGTAGCTTGCTAAAGCTACCCAGCTGAAAGATCAAGAAGTAAATGCTCATGGGCTCATTTAATTCTTCCCAAGACGATTATCCGCAACATAATTACCAATTAACCAACAACAGCAGTATCTCAGATCTACAACTATGCCACCATAACCACCACCATCTCTCATTACTCAGCCTCCTCCCTCCAAAACCCAGCCCCTCCAAACCCAGATTATCTAGCCCTCTAAAACTCAGAATTTCAAGTGACGCGCATATTTTCCGACAACTCTCTCTCCTCCTCCAAAGTTTCCAAATTTACAGACAAAGCTTCAATCTAGCTCCTTCTCAGAGACACATCTCCATTGCCGCTGATTGTTCGAGCTTCTTCAACCAAACATCGACTCATCAATTTAGAGAGAGAGAGAGAGAGACTGGTTTTTTAATTTTTATAAATGTTTTTCTTTTTTTTCTTTTTCTTTTTGATTGATTTATTATTTATTTTACTAGAAATTACAAGTTTCCTTTTATAGTTAACGAAAAATTGAATAAAATTCACAAAACATAATGGCAATGGCTAAATTGGTCATTTTAATTCATTCAGGTGTTAAATTAGCTGACTTTTTAGTTGGGGGGTTTAAGTTCGATTGGGGTCCTAATTCGGGGGGTGGGGTGTACGGCAATTTACTCATACATACATACATACATATATATATATATATGATGCAGCGCAGAAGCACGAGTTTACAGATCGACAAACGTTTAAACTCAAAAAGATAAATTGAAATCCATCAGCAACTGGAATCCACAATAAAATAGAGAAAATCTCTTAATTTAATTAATAATATGATAAAACTTAATTTTTTTTTTTGGGTCAGAATGATAAAACTGATTAATACAACTTAAATAGAAAACAAAGAAATCCTAGGTTCCAGAATATTCCTTAAACTTAACTAATAAGAAAATAATTAAAATCCTAATTAAAATACTATGACGTAAATCGTGCTGAGATGAGTCCGTAGACACGTAGTGGGCTCAAATCGGAGTTGCAACGAAGAAGTTTTGAATAAAAGAAGCATAGTGGGAAAACCGTAAATATTTCAAAATTGGGTTTTAAAAATCTGAAAACCCTTTCATTTCTCTCTCTCTCTGGTTTGTGTGACAGACACCCCCTTCAAAAACAGCCGGCTAGTTTTGTGGC